ACCCTGCTCAACTCACTTAACTTCTAAGTATTCCAAGAAATCCTTTTTTTCTTGGATAGGCAATGGAATTAAGTGACTTGCCCAGGGTCACACAGCCAGTAAGTGTCAAGTGTCTGAGGCTGGATTTGAACTCAGGTCCTCCTGACTCCAGGTATTCTATCCACTGCACCACCAGGAAATTCTTAAAGATGGTAAGTAGTAGAAAAAGTGCTGACCTACACTGGTAAAGGGAATTTCTTCACCTGGAAATAGTTCTCTATTCAATTAGATAGTTCTCTATTATTTCCTCATTATTCAATGAAATAGTTCTCTATCATCATCTCTCAATGAATAGTTCTTTATTCACTGAAATCACAGGTCTAATCCCTATCCGTTTTTTTTTTAATTTTTGGGTGGAAGCAATCAGGGTTAAGTGACTTGCCCAGAGTCATACAGCCTGTAAATGTCTGAGATCAAATTTGAATTCAGGTCCTCCTGACTCTAGGCCTGGCATTCTATCCACTGTGCCACCTGGCTGCCCCTTTATAATTTTAAAAAAATAATTACTACCTACTGTAGTAACAAAGCACCTTAAGTATAAATCCACTTATTTAGAATAATGAATCAACTTCCTGAAAGTTGAAATTGCAAACTGTAGGAAGTCACAAAATCTGGGTGTGAGATAACTTCCATCTGGATTCTTCTAATACTACTTTCTGCTCTGGGAACCAGCCTGCCTACCCTTATTATTAAATTTCAAAGTGAATTTGCAAAACATGTTTATTTTTCATTGAAAGGCTAGAGGTTTCTCACATGTGTGAAAGAAAAACTTGGATTTCAGGTACTCACTTTAAAACCTTAGAGGTATTTGGTCAATTTATTAGCTATAGTCCCTCTGACATTCTCACTCTGTTTGTCTCATTTTTATTCTCTGAACAAGTGGGCCTCCCTATTTCCACAATGCCTGAGGGCTATGTTTAGATTAACTATTCTCTTCCAAATAGTTTTTTATTACCCCCTTAGAGCTTTTACACTGAATTCTATTAGGGACAATTTATATAAAGCTGTCCAATGCCAGGTGGAATTAAGTAGCTAGAAATTCCTTATCTGAGCAATAAATGATTGTTGGAGAAGGAAGAGATTGCTAGATAAAAATAAGAAATCAAAGAATTGGGCTTTCTTCCCTGTGGCTCTTTCCAGGTTGGCCTTAGACACTCAGTACCTATGTGACACTGGGAAAATCACTTGACCTCTTTCCACCTCAGTCTTTTCTTCTGTAAAAGGGGAATAATAATAGTACCTACCCCTCAAAGTTGTTGTGAGGATTAAATGAGATAATGTGCATATCTTAAAGTGCTATATGTAAATGTTACCTATTATTGGCTAAAGAATTTTTTTCTTAATATGTATTTGGGGAAAATGTATGTGGAGGGTGCCCAGATTGGGGACCCTCCAAGTGTGGCCTGACCAAGGCAGAGTTCTCCTTATTCCTGGACACTCTATCTCTATTAAAACCATATAACATTGCATTTGCTTACTTGATACCATAACTCACTACTGACTCAAAAGGAAATGCCAATCCACAAGAGACCTACACACTGGCCTCGGAAACAAAAGACCTGAGCTGATGTCTCAGCTCCATTTGCAAACTGTATGACCTTAAGCAAATCACTTGAGCCTTCTGGGCTCCATTTTCCCCAGCTGTAAAATGATGGGGTCGGACTCTATGACCTCTGAATTCCATCCTAGCTCTAAAATTTATGATTCGTATAAACTTCTAGCCTTCTCACTCCAAATCTGGCCCTTCCCTGAATTTGTTTTTATTTGGAAAACAAGATTTACTTAAGGGAGTGGATGGAAATGAAGATGATTCTTTGAAGCCAAAATGAATTAGAGATTCTTTTAGGTCATGTCCTTTGAAGGGTCCAGAAGAAAGAACAAATTGTCCCTTTACATTTAATGGAACACAGATCAGCTGTGATCCATCTGAGATGGTCTATAAATCCTGAGAAAAAATAATTGGGAATCTGGAAAAAATCTGGGTTGATGCCAAATAAGAGAGATGGCTAATATCTATTAGTGAGAGTCCATCTATCAGCCAGCCACTGCAAGATAACTTTCTAAAACGGGACCCCTGTGCAATTAGCCAAGAAGCATCAATAAAGCTGACTGACCAAGACCCAATATACTGCAATCTCATTTACTTCATCTATTGTAGATTCATAGCCTGAAAGAGACATAATGCTCTTGTTCTGCAAATACGGGAAGTAAGACTAAAGGCACATATATCTGTTCTTCCAGAGCTAAATACCAAAAGTAGTAAGAGCCTTCCAAGACGATCTAGTCCAACTCACTCATACTACAGGCAAAAAAACTGAGGTCCACTTGGAGTAGAGATAATAAAATGAAAAGATAGGACACTATGGGTCTGGAATATTCCACAGCTTTGGAAACGTAATTGACTTAAGTTGTTTTTTTTATTGCCAGTAAAGGCTTATGAGAAGAAGAGAGGTATGTTTGGGAATCAATATGATATGAAAGAAAAAAGGCACTGGAATTAAAAACAAAAACAAAACTGGGGCCTAGAGAGAGAAGTTACTTGTCCAAGGTCACACTAATCATTTGTGGCACCCAAATTGTCTGATGCCAAATCTAATGCTATTTCCATGAGATGGACCAGAAGGATACTTTTTGTTGTTGTTTTTGTTCAGTCATGTCCAATTTTTCATGACCTCATTTGGGGTTTTCTTGGCAAAGTTCCTGGAGTGGTTTGCCATTTCCTTATCCAGCCCATTTTACAGATGAGAAAATTGAGGCAAACAGGGTAAAGTGACTGCCCAGGGTCACAATGAAGCCAGATTTGAATTCAGGAAGATGAGTCTTCCTCATTCTAGGCCCAGCACTCTATCCACTCTGTCACCTAGCTGCCCCATCAGGATAGTATGGTAACATATTATTTCCAACGATGGTACTGGTCTTAGGACAAATCATGCTGTGGGGCTTCTCCTTTCCACCCAACAGATTAAAATCTGGTTAAAATAAAAGATCAAGAATAATCTCAAAAGAGAAGAAGTTATTGCAAACAGCTTGAAGCATGGATATGGAAGGGAGGAAGGGTATACCACTGCCAGGCAACCAGACATGAGTAGAACTATTGGTAGGTATTTAAGCCTGAGACCTCTAGGAGACCCAGAAAACAATGCCAAATCTTTCTTTTCTGCCTGGAACCAAAAGAATCTTGAATCATAGAAATAAATGCTAGAATATAGATATTATCTGGTCCAATCTCTCATTTTAAAAATGGAGAGATGAAGGACCAGTTCTTTGGAAAGTGACTTGCCCAGGGTCACACAAAGTACTAAGTAAGTGTCAGAGCAAGGACTTCAACTCAGAATGCTAAAGTGGAAAGTGCTTAGACTCTCTCATCAGAGGAATGGGGTTCAAATCTCACCTGTGTGACCCTAGACAAATCAATTAACATCCCTCAGCCAAAGTCTCCTCACCTGTAAAATATTGGACCAGCTGTTTCTGAGGTTCCACCCAACTCTAGATCTATGAGTTTCCAACTTGAAATCCACCCCTCTCTTTTCACTACCACTTACTGGACAAAGCTCCTCCACAGCTTTGTCTCACCCAAAGGAACCCCCCTATCTTTGGTTTGCCTTGTTCTTGGGATGACCATGCTCACAAATTTCAAGAAAATTAGATACCCCCTTAGAGAAAGGTTCCTTGGACTGAACACACTCTACATGATTGTGCTTGTTCTCTTCAGTTTTTACAGAACTGAGGTATAGGAATATCATCACCATCATTATCATTACAAAAACACTTTATGGTTTCTTAAGGACTTTCCTTACCTTTCCTACTCTACAAGGCATAAATATTACCTCCATGCAATATCTGGGGAAGCAGAATCAGAATGACTAAGCAACCGGTCTAACATCACAGTTACTAAGGGTTAGAAACATAACTAGGAAGCAGGTCTTCTCATTCCTAGTTTAGTGTTCCTTCCACTATATCCCAATGCCTTTCTCACAGGTCACAAAAAACAGGATTAAATTCTGAAACCAACAGAATCATAGAATCTCAGAGACCTCTCCTCTCCTGCTTCCACTACTCACTCTCTGAACTTCTCCTCTGTGTCCCAACAATATTCTCACCAGGAAAATGCCTCCACTCCTATAGCCTTTTCTCCTTTTCTTCTGAGAAGATCCCTCGGCCTATGCAGCCCCATCCTCTGGCCAAGTTCTTCCCGGAACCTCCATAGGTATGCAATATTCCTGGAACCTGGAACTTTTGAAGAAGTGTCAAAGCCTGCCAGGCTGACTTCTTCATTTCTCTCCCTGGATATTTAGTCCAACCCATTCCTCAGCTAAAATCCCCTCACCAATATTCCTGGAAAGATGTCATTTAGCTTTCGCTTCAAAACTTCCAGGGATTGGGGACTTAACATATCCCTTGAGGCAGCCCTTTCCACTTTGAGGTATTTCTAATTTGCAGGCGGCTTTTCCTTACAACGAGCTAAAAACTGCATCCTTCAACCTTCCACCCATGGCTTAACCCAATCACCAAGCTGTCGCCTTGATAGATTCCCAAGCTTTTTCAGAAAAAAAGTCCAATACCCACCACTGAAGGTCAGACAGTAAGGGCTCTTAGAAAGACCAAGGAGTTACTACATTGCCAGAGATAATCCTATTTGTCATCTTCCAAGGTATCAACCACAAGGAAAAGTTATTTGGATTTAGAATGGCCATGATGACCTTAGACACAATGACCTTAGACACAGAAAACAATTAATGGTGGAGGGGAAGGTGGGGGAATCTTTACAGAAAACTTATCTGCTAAAGGTCTGATGTCTAAGATACATAAATATATGTAGAATTAATCTATTTATCTATCTATATTTATATTAATTTTCTATATTTCTATAAATATATATTTATATATCTATATTTACAACAATTCCCTATATTTGTCATTTGCTTTATAAATGTTAGTTTAATTGAAATGAACAGACTTACCATGATCTGGATTTCTCTCTTGCACACTTGGAGGTCATGTTCATTGTTGACAAACATGCGTTTGAGGGCACATTTCATCCCATTGCTTGTCCTCACCAGGAAGACAATGGCAAATCCCCCTATGAAAGAAACAGACAATTTTTTCAAAGTTCATCCAGGCCACTGCTAAGTTAGGTTCAGGCATGGTATTTAATAGATGTATAGCATTAGAGTGGTCTAGGGGGTCAGAACAAATGAGCTCAGATTTCTCTGAAGATAAATCGACACTACTGGTCAGACTGGGCAGCAGCAGACAGGGTCCCTGCTTCTCCTGTGCACAGTGGAACTAACTAAATAAAGTTAGAAAGGCATGGAGAAAATACCAAGAAGGATAGGATGAGAAATCAATCATCAACCCAACAATCCACATTTATTAAGTGTCTACTGTATGCTCAGTGCTAGGTACTAGGTGCTGGAGATATAAGTACAAAGAATCAACAAGCAAAAAGTGAAAAATACCTCACTCTCACCTAAGAACAGACTAGTCATCCATTTTCTTGAGAATAAAGTCAACGTAGGAGGCTTTGTTAATGCTGATGCATTCTCTACTTAGAGACCTGATTAAATGTTGATAATATAATTATTGAAGGTGCTCTGTTTTGGGGAAGGCCAGAAAAGGGAAGGCATAAATTTTCCTCTTCCCTAAAAATGTACAAGCATGGCTCATACGGCTCACAAGTCGTGGGATACATACTCACATATTATGCATTCACATTCAAGAATGTGAATGGTTCAATAACTAAACCCTAACAGAGATATCCCCAAGGAAAGAAAAATCAAGTGACTCAGGGACAAATATTTTTGGCATTTCAATGACAAATTGTTTTGCCTGACTATGCATATTTGTTACAAGACTTTTTATTTTGTTTTGGTTTTGGGAGAGGGTAGTGGTGCCAATGGAACTTGGGAGGAGAGAAAATACATGCTTGTTAATTAAAAAAAAATAAAATTTAATTTAAAAATTATTAAGGGATGGTAAGTCATTTAACCTTTGAACCTCAATTTTCTCATCTATAACATGAGGGGTTTTGCCTAGATGGCCTCTGAGGTCTCTCCCAGTTATAGATATAATAAGGAGTTTACACTGTCAAGGGCAAGACACATTATGTACTACATATGAGCATATACAGAACAAATACAAAAATAAAAGCAAAGTAGTTAGATACAAAGTTGCTAAGGAGGGTGCTACAGTTGGGGCTATCAGAAAAATTTTTTGAGTGTGGAAGGTGGTGAATGAGCTACAGCATTTAGAATGAGGCAGATGGAAGAGATTAGGTACCCAAGATCCAGAAACAACTGAACATATAGCAGAGTATTTAACAAACCCAAGGGCAACAATCACTGGGGTTCTCAACAAAAATTGCTAGGAAAATTGGAAAGCAAACTGGCACAGACCAGGCTCAGACCAACATCTTATACTATATACCACAATGAGCTCCAACTGGATACATGACCTAGATATAAAAGATCATATCATAAACTAAGTAGCAGGGCAGGGAAGAAGATTACCCTTCACATCTATGGCTAGAAGAGTTCTTGATCGAATAAGGAATAAAGAGACTCACAGAAGGTAAAATGGACAATTTTGACTCCATGTAGTTTCACTGGAGATGCTTGCTGTGAGCCTTTGACTAAAAAAAACTTATTTTATTCACTTATGTAATACCCTGGAGAAGTCACTTAACCTCAGTTTCCTCATCTGTAAAATGAGCTGGAGAAGGAAATTGCAAGCTATTCCAGTAAATCTACCAAGAAAACCCCAAATGGGGTCATGAAGAGTCAGATGTGACTGAACAATAACAACAAAAATCATCCATAGTACATTAAATATAAAAGAATAATGAAGATTTTGGCAACCAGGTCCATTTCTATCTGAATCTCAATAAAAAAGATGAGAACAATAATAATAGATGTTTCTACAGCCCATTAAGGTTTGTAAAGTGCTTTACATCCATTATCTCCTTTAATGCTCACAACAGCCCTACCAGATAGGCACTCTTGGTGTCATTATTTATCCCCATTTACAGATGGGGAAACTCAAGTCTTACAGAAGTGAAATAACTTGCCCATGATCTTACAAATAGGTGCCAAAGGCTGGATTCAGGGCAGGTAGGTGACACAGTGGACAGTGCTGAGCCTGAAGTCAGGAAGACTCATCTTTCTGTGATGGTGGGAAATTAAGTGATTTTTGTCTGCTCCAGTTTCTTGAACGCTAAAACAGGGATAAGAGTACCAGGGACTGCAGTGACTGACAGGTTGCAAGGCATCTGTGAAACAAAATTAATAGGCACCAGTTGAAGTGAGTTTGGAATTTTTCTGGCAAGGCTATTCAAAGGTTTCTACTAGTTGAAGGTACTGCTCGTACTGGGGGCAATTAGAGCATGAACAAGAGACAGCTAATTACTGGCTAAATACCTGAGAGACCAGAAGAGGAAGTGTAAAAGAAAAGGGCTTCAGTGCCCTAGGAAGGCGAGAACCCCTGAACCCATGGCAACAGGGCCTGAGAAGGCAAAGCACACTTATGGCAGTTTGCCACAGTGCTTCCCAAGGGCAACAGTCACAGGAGACACAAGCAATAGAGACTCTCAATGTCTGCAGGTATGTTGGCTGAGAGCAGTCACCATTCAAGTGACCTGCAGAGTTTGTCATATGTCAAACAATCTACAAATTAGACTCCCTTCAGGAGAAGAAGATCAAAGGGCTATGGGAGCACTTGTACCTCTGCTTTCCAACTTACTAGGAAGGGTGAAGTGATCCCCTACAGGGCAGAAGAAAAAGAGAGACCATGGTACAGTTGAAAGAGCATTACAGGACCTGATTTCAAATCTCACCTCTTAAATTTACACCTATAGAACCCTGGGCCTCAGTTTCCTTATCTGTAAAATAAGGGGGTTGGATTAGATGACCTCTGAGGTTCTTTCCAGCTTAAATCCAAGATCCCATGAAAAAAAGAATAAGAAGGAATTAGTTTCTAATGCAATACATAGGAATTCAAATCAGAATTATTTAGGGTTGTCAAGAAGTTACAAAGTGGAGGAAAACCACAATGAAAGAAGGAAGAAGATGAAAGGCATTTGGAACATCTAAAGATAGACACTGTATACAAAGTTCTTTACACAAAGGATGGCTCTGGACCTTCTGAAGAGTCATAGGCCTCCCCTTGCTCCATGAAAGGATAAAGATTTACCAGGATCTGTCATTGATCCTGTGGGGAAAAGAAAGACATGTTTGGGGGTGGTAGGGAAGAGGAGTGGAGGCAGCCATATGTTCACTGGATGTGTAAAACTGGGATGTGTAGTCTTCCCATGTGCATATTCAAGATGGGATGGAGAACCCTCTGAGACTTCTTAGTCACACCTAAGGCCTACCACCCACCATAGTGATCCATTTTTGAATCGATAATGTTGCCAGGAATAATCTGGAAAGAATCTCTAGGGATTATGAATTCTTGGTCAAAAAGCTAAACGAAGATTTGTGTTGCAGACAGCATTTTCATCACAGATACCAATGGAAGGGAAGAGAATGGATGTTACGGGAAGTGAACTTAAGATGGTGATATCAGAGAATGGAATCTGGCTTTCTGGACCAAGGTATAATACAGAGGATCAATGAATGGAGTCTTAGAACAGAGGACATCAAGACCCAGGAAGGATCTGTTTGCTTGGAGACTGGCTCATCACATTAAATTAACAGGAAAGAGGGAAGAAGGTAAGTGCCCCAAAACAACAAGGATGAAACTGAAAAACACCAGAGGTCCTCAGTTATCCACAGGAAATAATAAATGGGTAAAAAGGGCAGAAACTGTACGCTTTTGAGGGGCAAAAACCATACTCCTAGATTCAGATGTCTGTGCCCCAATACACAGAGTGTGTTTTCATTGTGAGGGAGATGACTGTGGCACTGTACTCTACTATGGTTCACTGTGACCAGCTGATGTGAGATCCTCTGATTTTCAAATTCTCAAATAACTGCCAGACATCTCCATGCCATTCTGCTATCACCTCAACCTCAACATGCCCAAAACTCATTTTGTCTTTTCCCCTCACAGAACCCGCCTCTCCTCTAAATTTCATTATTTCTATGGATGGCGCCACTAAGCTGCCAATCATTCAAGTGCCTAACTTTAGAGTTATCTTTGACTCTTCATTGTCTTTCAACCCCCACATCCAATCAGTTGAAAAATCCTGATCTTGCCTCTACACCATGCCTTGCTTCTGCCCCCTTCTTTCTATACCCATTTCAACCATCCTGGTTCAGTCCCTCTTCACTTTTTAGCTGGACTACTTGTTACAGCCTTCTATCTGGTCTCCCTCCCTCCAGGTTTTCCCCTTTCCAATCCAGTTATCAATCCAACTTCTCTGAGCAATTTTCTTTATACATAAGACTAATCACATCACTCCATAACTCCAAACTTTTCAGTGGCTTCCCAATGCCTATCAAATAAAATATAAACTCTTAATGGCATTCCAGGCCCTTCAGAATAAACCTCTCCAACCTTATTTCACTTTACTTCCCCACTTCATATATTCTACATTTCAGGCCAACTATATGACTCCTAGTATTTTGCTGTTGTCTCCCACCTTTACGTCTTTGCATACAACATTATCCCCCACACCTGGAATAGACTCCATGTGAATTTCTTCCAGTTAACACCCTTCTCTTTCTTCAAGGATCAAGTCAGGTGTCATTTCTTTGATAAAACCTTCCCTGACAACCCTAGCTACAAATAATTTCATACTGCTCAAATCTCTCATGCCTCTTTATTCGGACCTCTCCTACAATAACAGTAAAATAATATGGCACTATAAAGTTTCTAGAGTTCTTTTACACACAAAAAAAATCCTCAATCACATTATTTTTTGTTTTACAGTTTTCTATGTTTTTGTTTTGTTTGCTTTCCTAACCCCCCAATTGCCTATAAGCTCCATGAAGGCAGGAATGATGTCTGGTTTTGTCTTATTATGCCTGGCATGGTACATTGCAAATTTGAGACCCTTAAAAATATTTGTTGAATTGAATATTGATATAATGTGTTAATTTTTTTATTTCAAAGTTGTAATGAACTTTAGAGATACCTAAC